CGTCCGCATTTAATTTTCCAGCTTTCTTGTATTTCCAGAACTCTCATAAGTACATACTTACGAGGGGAAAGTTTCCAAATATCTGACAGTAAATTATAAAGTTAATCTGGGGATGCACATAAGAGGGACGGGAATCTTCATTCCATCTGTAACCTCACTGGCGCTAACTCTGGCAGAAGTACATTTGGATCACAAGCTTTTTTTGATAGCATCTATTGTGGACCTTCTGCAAGGTTACAGGGAGAATCCTCTGTCTTGAACTCTGATTAAGATCTTGTGGTTTTGGCACAGTCATACAGTAAAGCACTCTCTTGGCTGAATGGTATTAAGATATTAAATATTGCTTAAGGGGCAAAATATAGGTAAGCAATAAAAATATGTAGGCTGTGCTTGATTTTACAGGCTTCATTATAAAGGTAAACTCAGGCAAATGCTGAAACAACAGACACAACAGCCTGTAACTATTATATTTGTTTTCAGGGATAATGACATTTAGGAAAATACAAAAGAGGATATACAAAATGATGTATGTAATGCAAAATAATGTAAACTAAACATATATGTATTAATAGATAAACATTCCATACACAGTCTAATTCCTACATGTGCACAAAGGTGATTTACTGTTTTACATTGCAGATCTTTAAATGAGGGATGATATGTGCATTACATTTACTGTTGATGCCCCATTCTAGGGATTATTGGGTGTAATATTTGGCAGTTGGCACACTTCTCACAGCTGACAACTCTGCTGGTGGCTGAAGCAACAGGAGTCTGGGCTTAGCATCAAGAGGGTCAGAGTTAACCTATCTGCAATGGTCCAAGATATACTGTATCTTTCTTATGGTCTACAGTGGTCCTATTTTTCCTGTTGTCTTATTTTTCTTTTGGTCTACAGCACAAATGTACCCAAATAAAAGGCGTAAAAAAGAGAGATCTTTACTAAATTAAATTTCTTAAAAGTGTTAGTTACATTGTTAAGTAATATGTACAGAAGAAAACAAATTAGGTCATAATTATAAACACATATACCATGCACATGAAGTCAGACAAAAGACTGTCTCCACCCTGCGTTAAGTATCTAAAGAAAGTAATTTATTTACCCACTCAACAAAAGATTTCTTAATGGCAGATGCTTGATTCTTCGATATGGATGGTTAAAAAGAGTCCTCAAGCTTCATCAGAGCACATTCAAGGTCACTTTTAAATAGTGTTTTCATTTGTATCCATTGTTCCCTCACTTGGTGCTGTATGTATCACCCTCTCTACAGACATTTTGCAGCCTACTGTACAAACAAGTACCATATTGAACAATTTTACAAGAATGATGACAAAGAGATGGCTAATATACAGTATATAATTTATATAACATATTGAGGATTCTGAACATAGTTTTATTTTTGTGTTGATCACCTTCATCTTCTACACTGAAAAATTTGGAAACTTTGGCTGGGTATCACAAGCGGAATTGGTTGTTCAGGAAAATAGTTGCAGACCGCCAAGTTAATATGGGTATTTTAGCAAGAAAAACAGCCACACACCAAAAGTCTCAGCATTCAAAAAAAACGTTGGTCCAGAGAACATGCACATGTAAGCCCTGCCTGGGACCTCCCCATCTGATGCGTTTCACCCTAGAACAGTCTTAATTATAGGGGCTTTGTCCTAGTGTGAAATGCATTTGGGGGGAAGCAAAAAAGGACTTCTACGTACATGTTCTTCAAAAATATGATGTTTTGTTAGAGCATTATTTTTTTTGCTGGGGATGATGTATGGAGAGTGGGAATAAGCTCCATCCAATGCCTGCACCTGTGTCCCTAGACACCAGGGTTACCGTACGAGATTTGGAAAATCAACCTTTCCTTCTCTCTGTAAAGAGTTCTTATGTGGGTAATTGTTCAAAACCATACTTTATTTTTAAAAAGTCATTATGAATTTGTATATCTGTAGGTAACAGTTTCCCTCACTTCCCTTACCTGTGACACCAAGGTAAGAAATGAGGAGTGCAGGCATACAGTGGGTATAGAAAAGAATCCCCCCGTGTATTTTTTACTGTATTTAGTGCAGCGTATAACATCCAAGTGAAAGATATAACACTAACATGTCAGAAAAAAAAAATTCAAAAACAGAATCACTGAGTTAGAAAAAAGGATCATCCATCTCCTAAAAATGACTCCTAAGGTTAATCAGGTAAAGCTAATCACCTTCTCAATGCTACACAAGGCCATTTGACTTTCAGTTGTGATCAGGTGTGGTCATTTTGATTATCTCAGCATGAAGAAAGGTTTCCTGGAGCATTTCATTCCCTGGCAGTGCAAATGAAGCAAAACATCAACTATGGGTGGCAAGGCACTGTCAGAAGATCTCCGGATAAAGTTGGAGACAGGCACAAGCAGGAGATGGATACAAAAAAATTAAAAGGCTTTATCAATACCTAGAAGTCTATTATTAAGAAGTGGAAGGTATTTGGTACAACACAGACCCTCCCTGGATCAGGACGTCACTCCTGGATGAAAGATCCAGGAAGAAACTGGTCAGAGAGGTTTCCAAGAGGTGTACAGCAACTCTGAAGCAGTTGCAGGAATTTATGTCAAAGAGTGGTTATTTTGTGCATGTGACAACAATATCACAAATTCTCCACAAACATAGTTTGTATGGAAGGATTGCAAGAAAAAGCCACTCCTCAAGAAATACCACAAGCAGTCACGACTGAGTTTTGCCAAAATGCATCTAGATTCTGAGGCCACATGGAGAAAGGTGTTATAGTCAGATGATACTAAAACTGAATTATGTGGCGTAAACACTAAATTACATATTTGGAGGAAATCCAATACAGCTCACCATCCAAATAACACCATTCATACAGTAAGGCATGGTGGTGGTAATATCTGGTTATGGAAATGTTTCTCTGGCACTTGTCAGGATAGAAAGGAAAAATCTATGAAGCAAAATACCGTCATATTCTTGAGGAAAATCTGCTGCCCTCTGCCTGAAAGTTGGCAACGGGAAGAAAGTTTACCTTCCATCATGACAATAGCCCAAAGCACACAGCAAAAATGACCACACTGTGGTTGAAGGAGAAAAAATGTGAATGTCCTTGCATGGCCTAGTCAGAGCCCAGACTTATACCCCATTGAAATCCGAAGAATGACTTGAAGACTGCAGTCTACAGTCACCATCAAATTTTACTGAACTTGAGAAGTTCTGCAAAGAGGAGTGGGAAAATATTGCAAAGTCTAGATTTGCAAAGTTAGTAAAAACATATACCAACAGACTAAATGCTGGAATTAAAGCAAAAGGTGGTTAAACAAAATACTGACACAAGGGGTGATCCTTTTTCGAACTCATTGATTGTTTCTGATTTTTTATTTTTACTTTTTTGCTGCCATGTTGATGTTATATCTTTCACTTGGATGTTATAAGTTGCAATGAGTAAATATAGCTGGATTAAACAAAAACTGTGTCTGTCTTCATTTCAGGCTGCAACAACATGTGATTATTTTAAAGGGGGGTGATTCTTTTCTATACCCACTGTAGACATTGTCAAAAGTTCTCAACTTCTCCCACTCTACCACAAATGGTTTTGTTTGTGACTATGCCACTATTAGAGAGATTTCCCATTCCTTCCTGTTTGGATAGGTAGTGAGTAGAAATCTCCACTCAAAAAAATGTGACAGAGGCTCTAACAATTTCCAGCAAAGTCCAAAAAACAATATAAAGTTTTGGCTGGAGTTGAGTTTTAAAGTCTGTAATCTGATGATTACAGGTTGCAGCTGATTCAGATAGGATATTCTTTCTCTGTTTTACAGCATCCATGAAGTGAGGCTGATTCTGAAACCTCTTTTTATATATTTACAAAATAGTTTGAAGGATCAGAGTCCCAAAACTAAAATTATATTTACACAACAACTTTCTTTTTATATTCACAAATATTGTTTTACATAATACCAGATGTGAATATATTGCAAATGTTTTTCCGGTCTTGGGGAAGATTTTCTGTTCCTGCCAGCAATGCTTTTGAAACTTGTTTTTCAGCATTCAAGAGAGATGCTTTAGTCCCATTGTAATTGACAGTGCTTAAAAGACTTATTTAATTTATTCAAAGTGGTTTATTTAGTTTATTCAAAGTGGTTCAGGTAAAAAAACATTTGTATATGCTATGAATATGCTGTAATAACAGACTTCATGTATAAAGGGTGCTGCATGTGAATTCTGTAATTATTACTTATGGTTTCAATAAAACTTGGGGGCTGTAGCAAGGTGGCCTTTGTGCATTACTACAGGTTAATTTTGCACTTTAAAAGGATACCCATATTAGGAGACCTCTTTGGAAAATTCTAGATGCTTGGCTTCATTAGCTGAGTCACTGGCCTAACTTGCTGTATATTTGTTTCAGATCAGAGAATACAAATATTGAAGCCAGAGATAGTAAGGAAAATAATTTTTAGGAGGTCAGCAAGAACAGACTTTATTTGACAAAAATGTGTCTATGATCCCTTACAGCCAGAATCTGAAACGAATCATAAAATACGTTGTAAATAGCTGTATAGTAAATATCATATACAGCATGTATATAGTAATATTTACCTTATTATAATGATTCAGTAAATACAGGGCTTTTTTGCAGCTGGACCATGGGGGAAGGCAGTTCCTGCACCTCCAGCACTGAATGCATGTAATGGCAAGGGGTGGTGGGGTGTACTGCAGGGTCCATTGATGCTGACTGCTGGGGGATCTATTGTCACTGTAGGGGATCTATTTTTGCTGGGGGGTCTATTGATGCTGGGGGGTCTATTGATGCTGGGGGTCTTATGTTGCTGCGGGGTCAGTTGTGAAGGGATCTACTGTTGAAAAAGGTGTCTATTGTTACTAGCTGCTAGAGAATCTATTGATGCTGGCTGTGGAGGGATCTGTTGATGCCAGAGGCGGACTGACCATTTGGAAACTCTGGCACCGCTCAAGGGCCCGGGGTCAGTAGGGGGCCCCATGAGATGCCACGTTACCTTTTTCATAGGCTTTTTTGAGTTTGAGCAAGGACACAGGGGCCCCATGATCCCCTATTGCCCGGTGGCCCCATGAGTTGTCAGTCCACCCCTGGTTGATGCTGTTGGGGGACTATTGTTGCTGGGGGGGTATTTTGTTGCAGGTGGTCCATTGTTGCTGGCCGGGTTCTATTGTTGCTGGCTGCATGGGATCTATTTTACTGCTTTTCTTGTTATCATTAGAAATTCCATACAAATTGATATTTGGTTCTGTATTCTCTAAAAGGGCAGCACTGGGAGGTAGATAAGGGGTGGAACGCAGGGACGGTGAGGGATGGAGACTGGGGGTGACTTGGAAAGGGAGAGTTCATGCACCTATTCTATGAGGAAAAAAGCCTTGAGTAAGCACATGCAACTAAATTTGTTCATCACAATGGCTGAAAACTATAGTATACTGAACCTGATTTGTCTCAAATAACTAAAATTTGCTGTATTAGTGTAATAGAGTATTAGCAGCTACTTATGATGGTTTTAAATCTTAGCAAATGGTATTGAATCTTAAGAATAAAGATGAATGGCTCAAACTCTCAAGCACTACTTTCCACTTTTCAAAGCCAGAGAAATGCCTTACTTTTCCCCAGAGGCATTGCTTGGCTTTCTAATGCAAGACGACATTCAAATCCAGAATCTGGCACCTTTGCAGAGGCTTTGGATTAAAGCTTATTTTGTGAAAAGCTAAGAGCTGTTCTAGGGCATGTAATTCACTATACTGATCATTGACAGTTCTGTGTGCAATGCAGGTGTCCATTCTGGGGGCCTTACTAGGCTGGGTCTTCTTTCAGTACCTAACTCCCTACTGAGTAAGAAAGTGGTACCCTGGATAGAAACCCTGGATAGAAACTATCACACAGTTGTAAGAGCAGATCTCTCTAATGGAGCCCTGAATATCGGAATAAAGCCAATAGTGGGGTATTCCTACCCTACTCTATCTAAAATTTAAAAAAAAAGTTTTGGCTTTATATATACTTTAAAAATGTATTAAACCAGAGGTAGGCAACCTTAAAGACGTGAATATCAACATGGACAACATGGGAGAAGTCAAAGATCACTGGGCACAGTGTTGCCTCCTTACACCTGATTTAAACCTCTAATTGCCATACTACAGTGTCACAAGCGTGTGCATTGCACGGCAATCATGATTTTAAATCAGGTGATGAGGAGGCAATATATCAGCTCCTCACCACCTGTCAAACACACTGGGATCACTTTGCAGAGGAGCAGCAGTGCCTACTGTACCTGTGAATGAGCCCTTAGTTGTGATTGGTAGCAGTACCCTAAGGGATTGTTTACATGTAAAGTTTAGGGGGGGGTGTGTAAAACTCTGTGGTTGAATCATTGTTTTACCGCCTCCAATCTCTACCCCCTTTAGCTGCTGAGGCAGGAGCCAAAGGTGTACATGTGCTGAGGCAAGAATTACACCCCCTGTTGTTTTTGGTGGGTACTACCGCCTGTCAAGCAAGACCCATTCAAGTAAAAGGGGCCACTCTGCAAGTGCCCTGCAACTGCATGCTTCTGTGGGGTCCAAATACTTAAAGCAGGTGGTGAGAAAGCAACACAATGCTGCCTGTTTAACCCCTTGTTTGCTGTACTGCACAAGGTTGCAGGGCAATTGCAGAGAGGCCTCATTCACTTGAATGGGTCCTGCTTGGCTGGTTCTACACCCATCAACCATGACAGGGCATAGGTGCAGCTCTACAGAGGAGATATCAACTTATGCGGCTCTTGCTCCCTACTACAGCTCCAACTTTACAAGTAGTTCCTCTGCATTGCCCAGACCGAGATCTGCCAGTCAGCTGGCCAAGATCTACTGGTAGATCACGATCTACTGGTTGCTGACCCCTGTATTAAACCCACAAGAAAACATTTAATACATTGCATCTTTCTAATTCTTAGATGCAATGGCTACACTAGATTTCTTTATTAGGCTTTGTTTCCTTTATTTACACCTGGTGATACAGCCAGTAAATCTGTTTTTCAACAGAACAAGCTGTCCTTCCGATGTAGCAGTTAGAAGGTTGAGACAATCCATTTAACGCTGACAGGGGTGCTTACAATGATGAGCGTTTGTTAATTTCTGTAAAATCTTTATCCCAAAAGGAAAAAAAAGTTGCTGTAACTGATTATAAATTAATAGCTGGAGTTCAGCTTCAATTTAGTTGCATCTAAATCTACTAATACATCTAAAACTCCCCCCAGAAAAACAATGCTGCTGCCTAGGTGTCTCTGTTGCTCCTTCATTCAGTGGTGGCAATCTAATAGAACAAGTGTGCTACTGGCCCAATCACCAGGTGAAAACAGATGGGGAAAAAGCCTAAAAAAAGAAACCGAATGCAGCCACCAAATCTAAGGATTGGTAAACTGTAATATATTACAGGTTTTGTTTTGGTTTTAATATCACTTAACGCTTGGTTCACATCTGTGCGGGTGGTGCCATTGTGGACCCGCACGAAAATACATGCAGCCACACCACCTGCACAGAGGAATGTGTGGACCGCGTGCGGGTGCCATTAATTCTAATGGCACGCCACTCACTTGTTGGAAATCGCAACAGTACTGGGAACCTCGGTTCCCGTGCGGGCTGAGATTTCCGAAGAAGTGCAGGGACATCTTCCCTGCATGTACCCGGGGCACAGGAGTCCATTCAAATTAATTGTCTCTTGTGTCCGTACAAAACGTGGTCTGCACGGTCGCACATATGTGAACCTAATGTTAACTGATGGCTTGGTGTTGACCCTTCGTCACTAAGTCCCAGTTCTGCTCTGCTGTGGATTACAATGGGCTGTTATCAAGATAGTCAGATGCAAATACTAGGTGAAGGTAAAAAAAAAATGTTAAATTATTACTAGATTAAGGGATCTATTTATTAAGGTTTTCATGCAAGATTTACACAAACCTCAGCCTTCTAGATTCACCCAATTTCTATTTGAAGATTTTGTGGAAAATGTATAAATCTTGGATCAAAATGTTTAATAAATAGACCCCCCCATAAAGAGGATTCCAAAATATTTGCCTAGAGTTCCAATTTAAAGGAACATGCAGGCACTAGGAGTCTACTAATCAATGATTCCCAAGAATCACCCAAGTTTTATTCAATATTTGCTCATTGATGCTGGGGTGATAGGTGGGTGAATTTTGTGACAACATTGTGAAAACAGGTATTTCTTGCAATACCAGAAACTGAAATCTGGAACAGGGACCAAACTGCTGCTCTGGTTTACTTTGCTGCTCTGGGTGCAAACTGAGACTTATGTTTTATCAAATTATTAGAAACAGGTTTTAATCCATTTTCTTATTTTGGCTCAGTAAAGCCCCCCTCACATTGTGCACCATTTACGTTTGCTAAAAAATGATTGAGCACTTGCCATGTTTTTAGACCGTGACTAAGAATTACTAGGACTGTTATATGAGGGAACCTTTATCATACATATACTAGGTATTTCAACATATTTGTAGTGCCTTCACATTAAAAATCTATATATTTTAATACTTTCAATCAATATATTTCCATACTAGAAACAGATGCAGCCAGCCAATGAGCTTCAGAACTTTCTACAGTGAGTTAATATCCTTACATGAACCTCAGCTGACAGTCAGATTTCCATACTAAGCGCAGCCAAACAATCTGCCATATATTTCTCATATTTTCAAATCTCAGTGCACTTTATTTGGGCTCTGCTTAGCTTGCTCTGTTCCAGCAGCTGGTTTAAGTGTGCGAGGCAATTGTGTCATTTCTGGAAAGCAGCTAAAAAGGCATGTCCGGCTTTCCAGGGGGATAACCCTTTCTCTGCTGACAGTCAATATTGGTTCTATTACGGCAGAACTCATAATTCAGTTTCTATCTTACTAATAACATAAGCTGTGGCTCAGCATTCCTGCTTCAAAGAAATACTAAGCATGATTTTATCTAAACTGCAGAAATGAAATGACTATTATATTTTTAGAAAAACTGGAGCACCTTATGTTATAAAATATATATGTACACAGATCTTAATCTTGACTCCTTTAGGAGAACACCTCTCATTCTCAGCACTTTAGAGCTGAAAAATTCTTAAAACAAATGAAAAAAAACTATCTCAATGTTCCAATGTCATTCTTTGAAACTACTAAAAGAGATACATAATAGTTTAGTATAAGAAAAAGGCCCATACTGGCTGAAATTTTCTTTGTTATAGTTTTATTAGTGTAGCTAAAGCTTAAACTTTTTTTTTTTAATATTTCATTTTAGAGTACAGTGGTTGAAAACTCATCTTGTTTTAGCCATCTGAGTCCACCTGAGGAGATTTCAGTTCACTTAATGTTCGGTAAACATAGTAGAGAGTGAGAGGAAATTTTTCCAAAGGAGTAAAATGCCCTCTTAGAGAGTTGTCCATGGAACAAATGTACCCATTATTAGCTATCCCCTTTATTTCTGTTCTGGTGGCAACTTAAAATTGTGAACATTCCCTCACCTTCATTTCCAGTGAAAGTGATCACCAGGACAAATTAAGAGATGAAATTTCTTTACCTAAATAAGCAATCTGACTGATGTTCTAACCCTTCCCCACCAATCCAAAAGTAAAAAAAAAAAAATAAAAAGGTTAGGCTATACATATACTTTTAAAAAACCTTATAGTTGTTCACGTTTTGGGTTTGCCTGTGTATGATTTTGTGAACGTGTGTAATTTGAAAACAATATCTTCATTTATAACCAAAAATTTTCTTTTTTTTTTATCACAATACATGTGTTTTAAATTTTCCTCAGTTGAATTTTGTTTCTTTTAAAGTATTCAAATGTTAATTCTTACTATTTTTGCTATAATTTCAGGGGAGATGCATCAATTTTACAAGAGAAAAGAAGACAATGCCACCAAGATATCCATTAAACAATGCTCCTCTTTTGACACCACCATCCAGTCCAATCTATACTCCACCCCAGAGTCCAATATATACCCCTCTTCCCCAATCAAGTCCACCTCCTCCACCAATTAATTATCCACCTCCAACTCCATCCCCGACCAGTTCACTTCCTCCACCACCTTTAGCCTCACCTCCCATG